AAAGGAAATTGGTTTTCTGTAAATATGCCACTATACATTTGTACATGCATATAATGTGCATATGTATGTGTGTATATAGTAAATATAGAGAGGGGCAAAAGTTGGTTTACATTTGTTCATATGGAAAATAATAGAATAATTCAGAAATAATAATGCAAAAATAAACTGCTTCATGTACTCAAAAGTATAAATCTACTTTTGCCCCACCCTATATATGCAACACCTTACATGTAATATAAAAAAAAAGAATTCCAAAAAATCTGTTTAAGAAGAAGATGAACATTTTATAATTTTTTTCTAGTTTGGCACTTTGTTCACACAATATAAAACCAAGATTAAATACTCATTGATTACAAACCACCATTTGTTTTGAACAGAAAGCCGATGTTTCACTGTTTAATATGGACAGCTACCATTGAGCACATACACACTTGCCAGGAGCAATGCTAAGCACTTTTCATTTATTAGCTCACTTAATCCTCACAAAGAAACCTATAAGTAAGTGATATTTGCTATTATTTAACAGATGAGAAAGCTGAGTATCCTAGGTCTAACTTCCTTAAAATCACACAAGCGGGGACTGGCAAGCTAGAACACAATACCAAATCCGCAAGGCTTCTAAATGTAGTTAAACAGTTCACTGTATAGCCCTCTCCCACATAAGTTCCATGCACACTAGCATACATAGCCCTACAAAATAATGAAAGGATTAAAAACATCAGACACATTAAAAGACTACATAAAAATTGACATCCATGGAAAAAAGAATGAATGTGCTCAACACAAACAGGAACCCACCTTCATGACCTATGACAGATCTGGAAGCTGTTTGAAAGCTAACAATTCCCGCCACGTTGTCATTGGCCAAAATGTTCACTCGCACAGTGTCGGAGCTGGGCAGAATTCTGCTTCCGCCTTCAGTGTACACTAAGCTCACTATGATGCTCTCATCGTCCTCTGGCTCGGGATCATCCAAAATGGTTAAAATGGCTATCTTTTTTGTTTCACCTATACAAAAATCAATTCAAAGCAATACTATTACTTCCTGTGATAACTTGGTAGTTACTAAAGCCACTGGGAAAAAAACTAACTTTCAATTTTCATCTTCACTCCTTCCTCATCAAATTTTCATTATTTCCTTTGAAATAAGGAGAAAGTTACCAATTACCGACCTGTGCCCCCCCAACCCATCAGGCATGTCATAGCCCATTATTCCCAAAATAATTTACTAGAAACAACATTATAGAGATGTTTTATCCTATTTTAAAAATTGACTCTAAATCAGATGCCGATTAGGTATTTCAAAAAGTTATGATATATGTATCATGACCCCCAGTTACTATTTCCAAAAAATTTTACACAAAAAGTTAAATAATAAAAGGTGCAATGAACTGATTTGACATGTAATTGTGAGTGTTTACTTCATTCATTTTTTTCTGTATCCAGTGAGGTTTTTATGAGTACACGTCATTTTTTCAAGTGGAATCCGTGATTGCCCAAATCCGGATTTAAACAATGATCTCAGTAAAAATACCTTTCCCCCATGCAAAGTGTTAGCCACATGTTTGGTTGTAGTTTTCCTTAAAAAATTAGAGCTTTCCTTAGACTTGTTTACTTATCTGTATCACACATGAAGGGATAAAAATCCCACATCTTCAAAACCCTTCTTTGTTTAATAAACTAAAAGGTACATATGTAAGGCCATGTCAGTCTTCATAGGTCATGTCAACCACTAACCAACTTCTATTTTTTCAAATCCACACTGCGCTTTTATATATTCACATTATCATAAAAATTGAATATGATAACGTTAGGACATACTGCAATCCATTTAGAACCATCACTCACCTTCAGCAAAAGTCAGAATGTCCCCAGCACCTATAAAATCTAAACCTTCAGTAGCGGTTCCACCAACAACACGCCACTCGACTGTCACCTGACCTAAGCTGCCCCCCGTCCTGTGGATCATCAGCTCCACTGTGGTCTGGGGCTTCTCCTGGACTTCTACGTATAAGCCGTCTTCTGAGGTGTTGGGACTAATACTGTACATCACGAACACGCCAAAGGCATCGCCATTTAATGCTATGACAACTGTAGAAGTATTTGGCTGTCCTATGGTTGGCTGGTTTTCAACACTGGCTGTGATGTTCATGAGGTGAACTTCAACAAGAGAAATTAGGAAACTCTCATCCATCTCTGGGATATCATCCACAAGAATAGAAACTGTAAGATTTGCAAATTCATCGCCTTCCTGCATTATGACCCATTGCCTTGTCACAGGCTCATAGTCACTGCCAGCCACAGCCTGACCGCTAAAAAGAGATGCTACCCTGGTCATGTTTTTCCTGTAGGTCCAGAAGTCTGAGTGGCTAACATTCGGACTGATCCACGATGTCATCCAAAAACACTGGGGGCCCTCGGAGGCACTGAAAAATGAAAATGCTGAGCATGCGTGTTCTTTGAGGCACAAAGTGGCACAAGTAAGCTGGGGCTCCCCCACGGCAGAGACATTCACCCAAGTTCTCCAGAGCGGATCAGGCACCCCCTGCATTGGCGATTCATAGTAGGACAGTAAATCTTGACCTTCCTCCACTGCAAGAGCCACTACATCAATATCGGAAGTACTGTAGAACAGCAAGAGCTGACCAAAGCGCCCGCCGCTAAAACGTGGAGTGACAAAGACATATTAAGCATTCAAAGCAATCTGTGGATTACATACAGGAAAGAACTACTAATTGCAGCTTTCAGTTTTTCAGTATATAATGTCATTGTACAAATACAACCATGCTTCTTATTACATTTGTCTTTCAATGTTTTACTTTCTCATGTAAGGTCACCTTGCTAGTTTTCGATCAAACAGAATATTTACCAAGCTATGAAAATATCTTGTTAGACATGCAAGTCATATCCATTTTTAAATTATCAAACAGAAATAGAAAATTAATTTTCATTACTAGATTTCCCTGAAACAAAGTAACAATAATAGCATGCATACATTTTGAGGGAATATAATTATTTGCCATAAGGTCCCCAAATCCTATATTTTCTATTTCTAAAGTAATTCAGTGAACTGTAAACTGCCTCACGAAAGAAATGCAGGAAAAAAATAGAACCTAAAAATTAACCACTTCAGCGTATGAATTTTCTTTAATTTAGAAGCTAATTATACTTAAGTTCTAACTAAAACAAGTAACAGATTAAAGCAACAAATTTTTGGAGTTAGAAAGTCCCATGATGTATAATCTATTTCACTAATAACAGGTATGATAAATATAAAGAGCTCTTTATATTATTAGGCATAAATCATTTAATAAATTATAATAATTTATATTGTATTAAAAAACTAATTGTGCAAGAGATCCTTTCCCATCACCCCACAATTCTCATCACCCACCCCCATCCCCACCCAAGATGCACGTCACCATCTCATATACCTTCTCCTGACAGTTATGTTAGCACAGGAACTTCTCTCCAGAGGCTCTTGAACACGGTAAACCGACTGAACAAAGGCTACTGTACCATAAGGATTATCATTGGCAGGAATAATAATATTTGCCACTCGATCTAACCCAATAGTACCTCCACCAGAGGCATCAGTTAGTTGCACTTGGATAACCTAAAAATACAGTGAAAACTTCCTTAACAGAAACCTAGTTCTGAAATTAGAATAAAAATGATTCAAGGGAAAAAATTAAACATATCCATACAAGTTTAAGAACAAAATGAAATGTAATATAAACGGATTCAAAAAAAACTATCCCATTACATTTATAAACCCAACATGTAACAGAATAACCCATCATGAACTTTTAATAATACAGCATGGCTATACATTAAAAACTAGGCTATCTAAGTTCCTTAATATTCAGTTATATAATTTTGTGAATCAATTTTGAGATCCCTGGTTATGTTTTATTTACCACTTTAATAATATACTTTTAGTCCTATACCTTTTTTTATTTAGGGAAAATAGTACATATATGTTTTATGAAGCTAATCTATTATGCTTTATTTTCCACATTCTGTTAAACGAAAATTCGCTGACAAAATTTAAAAGAAAAAATATATCATATCACAATACCACCTATATTTAGAGAGAAGGAAAGAGAAGTGTTTTAAAGATATTAACTAGTAACTAATATTTTAGGAGTGAATAATAATACAATTACCATTCAAATGAAATTTTATGAACTACCTTTTTATGAAAATTTGATAATATTAAAGAATAAATGCTATCAAATTCAATTTTATGAGATCTGGGCTTTAATAATACTTGAATTTTATACAATAAAATTATCCTTAGCCAATATATGGCATTGATGAATCATTTCCCCCCTGAGACTTTCCTTTTATTTGCTACTTTGCTAATTCATCATGAAAAATAAATACCAGGCAGCTATATCTAGCATGGTATTTGTCACATAGTAAATTCTCAAAATTGTTGAAGAAATTAATGAACAAGTAAAAAAATCAAAATCTAATTTAAGCCCAAAGGCAGTATGGATATAAACAAATTAAAAATTTATATGAAACAATGTAGCAAAAATTATGATAAATGTATTATGTATTTAATCACTTAACCAAAATGTTGAAAAATACAATTCATAAAAATATCTTACACTAGTAAACTGGTACGTGCATAAGACCTATTTCTAGAATATTCCTAGTTTCGTTATCTGTAAGGATCACTTTCACACTACCATATTTTGAACATTCTAGCAGAAACAATTTATTTGACATCCTCTATAAATGTCACAACAACAGTATCTGTTCTAGTCACTACAAGACAAGGCATGATTTACAGTGTCATTCTATACTAGGCATTCCTCTCACCTCTTCAATCTCCGGAACGTCGTCAGCCAGGACCTCTAACAACAAGGTTTGAATGGTTTCCCCAGGGGCAAAGGTCACATTACCTGAGACAACTCGCAGGTCGCCAGTAGCAAGCTGTCCATTAATGGTGGCAACCCACTGAATAGTAACATTGCCGAGTGTCCCAGAATTTCGAATTATTGGCAGGTTTACCTTCACTGAATTAAACTCAGGTTCCTCTACAATAAGTTTAGTAATCTGAAAACCTGAAGGGCAGAGCAGAGTTGATTTCACATATAAAATGAAATTGAATTACACAGATCTAAACAATCGCTGTCCTATAGTCACTTTTTCCCCCTTATGCAATCAAAGTAGCTAACCCCCATACAATCAAGAGTAACATGCTGTGATACAGAGTGGTTGGGCTGCCAAAATTTCAAATTGATTTTTCATTAAGACAGAAGCAGAAATCACAAATCCAGATGCCCACAGGGGTCAGGCATACACCAGTTGTGAGTGAAGAGGATCTAATGAGTTCTGTGGCTAACTGCACAGCGCAAGCCTGGTCCAAAGGGACAGTGGCTATGTGGCTCCCATGACGATGCTATGCGGAAGGGGGGGCTGGATGTTGCCAGACTTTCCTACTAAACCAGAAAGCCCAGATATCCAAATTTTTGTGTAAATTTCTATAAATTAATTTTTTAAAGAATTATCTAAGATTCACAAAACACATCTAGGAGCCAGATATTATGTAAAAGGTTAAAAGATTGTGGCTTCCACATTTATGCAAAGGTTCTAAACTTTTGCATAAATGTAGAAGTCACAATCTTTTAACCACTAACCACTGCCAGTGAGTGTACAAGATGCTGTATATATCAGTATTAACAAGTTAAAAAGAGAACAGGGTCAAATCAATTCTTCATCCCTAAAAACAAAGAAAAGTATGATCTATGCAAACAAATGAAAGAGAGATACAAACTAATCTGGTTACCAAATAATCCATAGGGGTCATCAGAGGCCTCAATAATAATGATTGCCTCTGTTAACGCCCCTAGTTTGGCTCCTCCTGTGGTTTCATTCAGCAGTTGCACAAGAAAAGATTCTTCCAGCTCAGGGTAAATGTCATCAATGATATATATTGGCACAGCTTTACTGGTTTCCCCTTCTAGCAAGACCACATCTGATGAAGCTATACTATAGTCTTCACCTACAGAGACAAAAAGAAAAATGCCAAGACTTATTCCACAATATAATAAACATGCCAGATGCTAGGGGAATCTATGATGTATTGAATTTTATGGATGTGCTTGGAAAGACTTTTTTGAGAATATTTACTGAATTTATTCTAAACAAGAAGACTTTACCTGTCTTGTTAAAAGAGAAGGGGGTTGGGGGTTTGATGTCACAAAACAATGAAAAAGATTTCCTAAGGGCGTTTGAGTTCACATGTTCATTTTTAGAAAGATGTGTATATAATTTGTACTATTTGTCATATATATATATATTCAAAGTGTGTGTATACATTTTTGGGGGAATGCCAAAAATGTATACACACACTTTGAACAATTATAAAGGCAGTGTTTATTGAAATCCATTTCATTTTCAAAACTAAGCTATCAGCTGGTAGTGTTTATATATTTTTGGGACTTTAGATATAGATATGGATAGATAGCCATAGGTCATTTATAACCACAAGATGGCCCTTTAGCTACAAAAGAAAAATGTGTATAATACTTTTAAAACAAAGAACAAGACTAGAATTCTAATCTCACTGGGGAAATAAATTATACTGTTACATTGATATGGGCATGTTGGCATCATCAGTGTTATAGCTGGAATCTATGGACCTTTGCACAAAGTTGGATTAAAATCTGCTATTGCATAACTGCCCAGGACGACTTTGTTTCTGGTCCAACAGTGGTTGGGGAAGGAGAGAGGCTTCCTATGGAGCCTGAGGGCAAATTTCCTAGAAAACACACACACACACACACACACACACGCACACACACACACACACCACCTGGGGAATACGTGAGCCCAGTTTATCTTTTCAAGCAAGTCTCATATTCAGATAATTTATTCCAAAAAATCAAGCCTGTTACCCCATCCATTCACACTCATGTTCCTTTGAGTGCATACTAGAAAGAACCTAATTGAATTGCTCTTAGACAACTCTCCCTCTAGGTAACTGCACTACCAAAGAAGGCAGTCTCCTAATGTTTGCATTTGGCGATGAAATCACTTTGCTTATACATAAAATAGTTCATGGCAACCATTGTCTCTTCCATGTTCTTAATAAAGAAGGAAACAAGCAAGATAAAAGGGTCGAGAAACAAAACTATTGCCAAGTACTGTGGTCATACGGCTGCACGTTTTATCTTGCATTCTTTCCTAGGTATCATTTACATGAGTCCCTTTCAAAAAACTAAACGGTACGCAGAGAAAATCTAACCATGCTTTCTTTAGTTTCTTTTCATTGGTTTGTGCATATTTTGGCCATCAGAGCTTTTACATTCATATACAATTCACTAGCAGTTTCCATAAATTGTACAAAATCAGTGTCATAGGTATGTGATGAAATATCTGAATATGTTCCTTTAAAAAGATGCAGCAGTATTGTGTTTTCTGGCTGATTTTTCTAACTACATCTTCGAGGTTTGTTAATCAAGGATAAAATTCCCCTCTAAAACACTTCACTGCTCCTTAGCTGTCTTTTCTCACCAGCTATTGCAGTTATTGGCACAGCTTTAAACTTCACAGAAACATCTGCAAATGCTCCTCCTGTTCTCGTCACATTGATAATGGGTCCAACATGATTTTCTGCCACTCGAACAAGTGGAGCTGATAGCTGAAGAATTCCAAAGGCGTCATCATTGGCAATGATAATTAGGTGAGCGATAGTTTCTGCCTTAGGTCCAAGGCGTGGAGAATTGGGAACTGAAAAAGAGAAGAAAATCTATCAAAATTCTAAGAACTAGTCATTAAGACTCAGCAAGATTCCATCAACCAAATGTGATCATAACTTAGTGTTTTCTCTCTATGAAATATTTTTTAAAAATATATTTTTTATTGATTTTTGACAGAGAGGAAGGGAGAGGGAGAGAGAGTCAGAAACATCGATGAGAGAGAAATATCGATCCGCTGCCTCCAGCACACCCCTCTCCGGGAATGTGCCCACAACCAAGGTACATGCCCTTGACCGGAATCAAACCCGGGACCCTTCAGTCCGTAGGCTGATGCTCTATCCACTGAGCCAAACCAATTCAGAGCTCTCTATGAAATATTATTACTATATAGTAGCACTAATCTAGGCATTGTATGTACAAAAATAAATTAAACAGAGAGTCCCTACCCTTATAGCTTTATATTCTATTGAGATTTTTATTATAGAATCCATAGCAAACAAATAGTTAACTTACAGGTATAATTTAATAAGTATTAGAAATTTGTCAGAAAGCAAAAAGAATTAGAGTATAATAAATCATCGCTTTGCATATATTACAAGAGATAATGATAAAACCTACAAAATTTTGATCTTTTAATTAGCTACCAGTATGCCATAAATTTTTTTAAAACAGCATTTCAGTTACAAAATTGAATAGTGATTTAACTCCATGACCTCAATGACCAGCTGCAGCATATCATCATACTCTAATTAAATTATTGTGTCTTTGCTTCAACTTTCCTCCCTCACAAACCTGTTCCTCTCTACCCCTTCTTAGTTAACTCAACTACCTCATCTGGAAAAAGTGCTTCAATGCTACCCCAATGCTGCTATAAAAGAGTGAGTGCAATAATTTTAAGGTTTTCTTCTTGCTTTCCACTGATTATCAAGAGAGCGAAGCTTATTTTGAAGGCATTTGGGACCTTCCAAAAACTACCCCTTATACAGAGGTTCAATTCCAGCCAGAACCCTTCCCAAAACAATATAAAAAGTGGTCTTTTAACGCAAACAAAGCATCTAAAACTTTTATTCGAAGTAAAGAATTTTGAGGTCATATTTAATTTTTTTGTATTCTTTCTAGAGTTCATATTTAGAATATCTCTAACAATGATGATATTTGGAAATATGTGCAAATGTATAAAAGTCAACACTTTCAGACAAATTAACCTAAAAACAAGTAACAACATTTAATTCCAACTATATAGGCCCAGGTCATGCTAAATTACATCATAAAGTTACGAGTAGAAATCAGTATAATATAATTAAATTCAACTAAATTAGAAAAGAATGGCAGTGACAGAGAGTTGTAGCAGCAGATGACTTTTTTTGAGTGTACACTATTTGCCTGGTGTTGTTCTAAGCACATTTCTTATATCAAGTTATTTAATCCCCATGGCATCTCTATGTGGTCAGTAATATTGTCCCAATTTATAGATGAGGAATCAGAGCCACAAAGATGGGGAGGAAGTTACCTGTAGGGTTTGTCTAATCTCTTATATACAATTACTCATCAAACCTCTCCTGAAACTTGATTACACTCAGAGTAGAGTAACACAGATCCTATCAGGTTACACTGATTCTGCCTATTAAAATCTGAATCGATATCACACAGATTTGCCCTAAATTTTCTTTAATTATTTCACATATGGCTTATGCCTATCTTGGACTGCCCCAAGCCTGCTGTATGATTCCAGGGACATATCAAGCATAAAATACATCATTTGTTTCTCCCCTCCATAGCTCATTGGTATTCTACATGTACCACTTTACTATTAATAATTATTCACAGCCAAAACCGGTTTGGCTCAGTGGATAGAGCGTCAGCCTGCGGACTGAAAGGTCCCAGGTTCGATTCCGGTCAGGGGCATGTACCAGGGTTGCGGGCACAACCCCAGTAGGAGATGTGCAGGAGGCAGCTGATTGATGTTTCTCTCTCTCATCGATGTTTCTAACTCTCTATCTCTCTCCCCTCCTCTCTGTAAAAAATCAATAAAAATATATTTTAAAAAAAATAATTATTCACATACATTGAATGCTTACCATGTGCCAGACACTGTATTAGTTTTCATATGTATTATCATATTTAAGTCCTATAATATTTCTGTATTGCCCATAAGGACACTGAGGCTAAAAATAATCTTCTTATTATAATTGGAACATAGTTATCTGACACCAGTACCCACAGCTCCTAGTCACCGGTATATGTAGTAATCCCTCCTTGTTTTACTTCTATCTATCTCACTTAAAAACTGTGTGTTCCTTGAAAACCAGACTCTATTATATAATTATTACTTAATAAGACTCATTGGATTTTACTTCAATTTATTTGCTAGTTTAAGTGATTCTAAATCTTGATGAGAAAAAAAGAATGAAGTATTGTGTGAGAATTTTAACCTTAACTGTTATCTAAAAATGTAATGTGAGCAGTTATCCTATAAAGTAAATTACTTTCTATAGCCCTGAGCTACAATTACTGACATTGTGGGCAAGAATGTTGCTTATTATACAGTATGTTCATCCAGATGCTAAGGTCAAGAAATTTACTTGTAAGAACCATCATCTATGTGGCAGAGCATGCTCAACATGAGATCTTGGAATCTGACTCTTTGGACTATGTAATTCCAGTTTCCTTAAAAAGGTTTTGTTTTCATATAACTATTGTCCTAAAACTGATAATAAATTGATCTTAAATTAATATGGCAATATTTTTGCCTTTAGTTCTTCCCTTATTCCAGAAAATCTAGATTCTTTTCACCTTTCTAAAGTTTTATGTCCACTTAGAAAATGTGACTAATGAACAAGCTATAACACAGTAACCGCTTTCAGTTCCATCAGCTCAAGCCCAGCTCTCTACCCCTACCTGTACTACCCCACTCTCTTTACAATGCCACTGAGCCACACAATACCTGGGAGAGTGGCTTATACTTTCCAATAGAAGCTACCAGATCCTCTGTGGATCACTCTTGATTCCTCATTCTTATCCCAACCAGGGTCTTCTCAACTCTCTCAATGACCCACAAATTCACAGGATTTCCTAGTGCTCCACAGCCCTGTGGCCCTGCCCTCATGCAGTTGTCATATCCACTTGGCCAATACAAAGAGCCTCTGTTGCTTAAAAATTCTTCCAGAGTTGATTAAGGTGAGAGGCTCCGGCTCTTGCTACCAGGACGGTCCTTGGAATCTTCGGGTTAATTACAGAATATTTTGGAAGTTACAATATATAGTACAACTAGAGGCCCTTCGTGCACCAGTGGGGGTCTCTCGACCTGGCCTGCAGGGATCAGGCCGAAACCAACTCTCTGACATCTCCCAAGGGGTCCTGGATTGCGAGAGGGCACAGCCAGGCCGAATCCATGCACCGGGACTCTAGTATGCATACAAGATCTTTGGTTAATCTCTTCCTGCCCTCCCCCATCCTGTCTTCCCTCTGAGATTCATCAGTCTGTTCCATGTTTCCATGCCTGTGGTTTCTAATCCTGTATTGAGTATCTACCCCCTAGTGGTCAGTGCGCATCATAGCTACCAGCCGGCTAGTTGCTTAGGCTTTTATATATATAGACTAGAGGCCCGGTGCACAAAATTCATGCATGCAAAGGTGTCCTTCAGCCTGGCCTGCACCCTCTCCAATCTGGAATATTCCTCTCGCAATCCAGGACTGCTGGCTCCTGACCACTAACGTGTCTGCCTTCCTGATTGCCCCGAACCACCTCTACCTGCTAGCCTGATGCTCCTAACTGATCCCCTGCTGGCCTGATCGCCCCGAACTGCTCTCCCCCTGCCAGCCTGATTGACCCTAAGCTGCCTCTGCCTCAGCCCCTGCCACCATGGCTTTGCCCAGGACGCCTGGAAGACATCTAGTCTAATTAGCATATTACCCTTTTGTTAGTATAGATAGTTACTAGAGGTCAGTTACACTGGATTACATAGACACTTGTAAAACTTTAGGCTTGGAATGTAACAGACTTTCATATTTTCAAGTGTCCCGCTACCATTTACCCTATAGGTAAACTAAGATGATGCTTTCAAATTTAGAGCTTAATATTTTTATAGAATTTCTATTATACCAAATTTTTAACTTATTGTTTTAGAATTATTATTTATAATAATAGTAATAATAGTAATAATACACCAACAGATACTTACTTGGACGATTTTGTACTTTCTCTATTAAAGTAGAGTTGAGTAGTTCAACAAACACAGACTCTGACCTTTCTGGTTCATCATCATCCAAAATTGTAATCGTTATTGTGGCCTCACTCTGATTGGCTCTGAAAAGAGCAAATCCAGAAGCTGGTATATAGTCCCTTCCTTGAGTTGCTCTGGCTAAATTAGGTGGAAAATAAGGTGGTTTTTCCATATCATCCAATGTTGCATATGTGACCATGATTTTTCCCATGAGGCCTTTTAACCTTATTATTGACAATGTGATGTTCTGAGTTGCTTCTTCAACTTCAATAGGTCTATTTTTCTCAGAAAAGATGAAGACTCCATAAGGATCATCACTAGCCAAAACTATTAAGGTGGCATTAGTATGAACTCCCAAAGATCCACTGGAGACATTGAGGATAGACACAGAGAATGCCTTATCCAGTTCTGGCTCTTCATCCGGCAATATTTCCACTGTGATGTTGGCACTTTTTTGCCCAATTTCAAACGTGACATTACCAGAGGTGAAGGCCAGATCACCATCTGGATCGGAGTCTATGCTCCATAGCAGAGTCACTTGAGACAGAGCTCCATGACTTCTTATAATCTATAAAATATTGAATGTTAACATGTATTAAAAGAGGTATTAAAACCACGACCTTAGAAGTTTATAAATACAGAATGATAGCAATTTTATATAAATTGTTCTAAAAAATATGAGATACTTAAAGGCAGACATCATGTACTAACCCATTTTTGAAGACACAGAGAGTCCTATTTAAAAACTGATTGTTGCATGAAACAAAATACTGATAGAACATTTGTAGCTTATAAGTAAACTCTATCTGTATTTTTGCAATTAAAATATATATATAAATAATAAAGTAAATATAATTAAAATGTATTATATATAAGAACATTCATTACCATTTTTATGTTTACTGAATATATGATACATACTTCATTGTAAATAGATGAGTAACATTTTTAATGAAAAGTTAGCCATAAAAGTTATTTTTAAAAACAAATTATAATATTTCCTTTATCTTCAATATAATATGAAAAACAAACTCACCAAACACATATTTGACCCAAGGTTACATAAAATACATCTAAGAAGGAAGAAATGCCTTTTTGTCAATATGTTAAGAAGATAAAGCTTTAAAAATGTTCCAAATAAGTTCCAACTAAACATATTTTAATTTATACTTAAAATATGTTGTCTCAAAATAAAATTTGAGACAGAAATTTTGTAAAACTTTATCCTCTCCTATAATCCTGTTTTATTTTCTTTCTTGAGTAATTAGTCACTGTTGCTGAAGTTGTTCAATTTACTCCAGAACCGTTTATTGAAGATCTGTCATAAGAGTGCAGGAGGGATATATTTTGAGTGATTTTTCTTCATTATTTATATACAATCTCAGGAAACTGAGCAAGCTTCTAGCTCCCCTGAGTTATTTAACAATAGAAAACTATTCAAGTCCTACTGGAAAAAATGCATAGTAGGTACACACAAACACATACACACACACATACACCCTGTATAGTGTTATTATTATTATTGCTGTCCACAAACACTTTGGGTTTTCTTTCCTTCTGGGAAAGAGATAAGACAAGACTGCACTTCTTTGCCCTTTAACATTAGCATGGTCATGTGATTTGCTTTAACCAAGGACATGTACGTGTAAATACTATGCCTCGCTTCCAGAAAGAAGCGAATATGTAGTTCTCCACATCCACATTTCCCCTTCTTAAAGACAGAAGTGCCTGCTAAGATGTGGCCTCTGTAACCCTCAGTCCCTGGCCCTGAGCAGGTCTGCCTGTGGGTTCTTAACTTTAAGCAGTAAAGATTCCACAGCACGAGTCCAGGTGACATTAAAGGTACATTTATTAAAGCTGAGAACAATGAAAGAAAAAAAAGGGCTGAGCATAGAGTAAGCAACAGGACAGCCCAGGCTTTGTTTCTCTAAAAATGCCACAGGAAAGGAATAAGCCAAGGCAGGCTGCCTCAGCGCACTGGGAAGTCTCATCAGGACAGTGGTTCTCAACCTTCTGGCCCTTTAAATACAGTTACTCATGTTGTGACCCAACCATAAAATTATTTTCGTTGCTACTTCATAACTGTAATGTTGCGTCTGTTATGAGTTGTAATGTAAATATCTGATATGCAGGATGGTCTTAGGGGACCCCTGTGAAAGGGTCGTTCGCCCGCCAAAGGGGTCACGACCCACAGGTTGAGAACCGCTGCATTAGGAGAAAACGGGGCCATGGAGACCGGTTCATGGGGATTAGCCTGAGACAAGCTGCCACTGCCCATTTCTCTACTGGTTGCAGGTCTCATGGGGTCCCTTAGAGTATAGGTCCCTTAGAGTTTAGGAGATTTGTGCCTGTGTGTGGAAGAAGGGGAGGCGGGGGGGGAGGGGGGGTTTTTTTTTAATGCTCCTCAGAGGGAAAGCTTGTGCTGGTCCTTTGTGTTGAGGGTTTTTATTTCTCTTGCAGGTGGGCATCCTAGGGAAGGTCTCAGAGGAGGGTTTGAGCAGAATATTCATCAGTTTTCCAGGTGTGCCTTTGAGGGTCCTGGTCTTCATTCATTGGTCAGCTCCAGGGGGGCAGGGGGTCATTTGTCATTGCAACTGGTTCTGTTGTTGCCCACCTGGTTTTGCTGCTTTTCTGGGCATGGAACTAAAATACAACTGAAGCCTAGATGGTCTCGCTAGGGAGGTGACCTTCTATTATCTGCTATAAATTGCATGGCCAGTTTGTTCAGCTAAATGTCTCAGTTTTCCTGGTTTACTGGCCTATTTCACATAAACAACTAATGATTGCCTATGTAAGTTTGACACATACACGAGTGACAAACAAAACTTTGTTGTAGTAAACTACTTGATAGGGGCAGAAATAGAATGTTGGGGAACCATCTAGAATTGTAAGAAATATTAATCATGCTCTGTTAACTGTGATTGTTTTTCTGATTAAAGGCACTTTCTAATCTGGCTGGCAGTTACACAAGAGACCTGGGAGCTCACCTGGAAATGCAGCTCATCATCTCCATTTGGAGCTGCCTATTATCCTATATAATAAAAGCCTCGGTGGCATCATACCCTCACATGATGTCATCATCACAAGATGGCCGCCACTAGATGGCCAGCAGGGGAGGGCAGTTGTGGGTGATCAGGCCAGCAGGAGAGGGCAGTTGGGGGCAACCAGGCATGCAGGGAAGAGCAGTTGGGGTGACCAGTTGGGTGCAACCAGGCCGGCAGAAGAGGGCAGTTAGGGATGACCAGGCTGGCAGGGGAGGGCAATTGGGGGCGACTAGGCCAGAAGGGGAAGGGCAGTTGGGGACAATTGGGCTGGCAGAGGAGGGCAGTTGGAGGCAATCGGGCTGACAGGAGAGTAGTTAGGCATCAATCAGGCTGGCAGGGGAGTGGTTAGAACAGTGGTTCTCAACCTGTGGGTCGCGACCCCTTTGGGGGTCAAATGACCCTTTCACAGGGCTCATCTAAGACCATCCTGCATATCAGATATTTACATTACGATTCATAACAGTAGCAACATTACAGTTATGAAGTAGCAACGAAAATGATTTTATGGTTGGGTCACAACATGAGGAACTGTATTTAAAGGGTCAGAAGGTTGAGAACCACTGGATTAGGGGGTGATCATGCTGTCAGGCAGAAGCAGGTAGGGGCAATCAGGCAGGCAGGCAGGCGAGCAGGCCTAAACCGTCAGTCGGACAACCCCCGAGGGGTCCCAGATTGGAGAGGGTGCAGGCCGGGCTGAGGGACACCACCCGCCATGCATGAATTTCATGCACCGGGCCTCTAGTCATGAATAGATTAACACGTTTGCTGCAGAAACGGAATCACCAGCCCTTGCATATCACTAAGCCCTTTGAAGATCCCCTCTGCTTATCTGTTAAGTGCCCATTTGGTAAACTACTTTCCCATATAATCTTTGTCCTTTTACCCAATATAAGCAGCTGGCTTATGGTGGGGTACAGAGCAGATTTTTATGGATGGCCTGCTACTCTCCCATATTGCCAGCAATACCGGAATAAATACTCAGAAATGATTCAACTCTGTCTCTGCTTAATTGGCTCACATAGTGATAGGCAGCATGGACCCACTGATTGTCCGGTTATATATTGAGATTTTGGAGAAGTTTGTTAAACAATATCTGAATGAATAAAAAATATATAAATGTGCTAAAGCTCCATTACATTCCTTAAAGAGTCAGGAATCCTTAAAATCATAAGATAAATTTGTATGCAAAACCAAAGACAAATGCTAAATCACTATTTAATGGTAAATTTGTATTGTTTGTGCTACTAGACTCATTCCCTCCACCTACATAGAAAAAACTGACCTAAAATACACCTTCATGATACAATAAAACAGTTTTAAGAGAACAGAGCATGTCTAGGACTGCAGGAAAAAAAATGTACTCACATTGAATATAACAGTGCTGTACCCGTCTTCTGGTTCAGTTCCGCTGACAACGAGTGACTCGGGGCTAAATTCAAATACACCATGAGCATGGTCAGAGGCCGCAATTGTCACTAGTATTTGGGAAGCCACTCCTAGACTGGCTGCATGAATAAATTCCAACAAATAGCAAGAGAATGCTAGTCAGTAATTTATAAACCAAAGGAAAAGGCAGGCAACAACCTTTGAAAACAGTTGTACTATTCACTGAGTACTTCTGATTTGTTTTAGAAAGGCTGACACGAATGGTTGCCACACATATTCACGCTTTTATGACCTTTCTCTATTTTGGTACCAATGTGATACACAAGTGCTGCATAAGCATTTGCAGATGAATAAGGAAAACTTGTTTTTCTTTTTCTTTTCTGTGAAAGAGAACATTCTTCCACACAAAGTCTATAAGGAAAGTCTCCCACGACCTTTACTGACCTCAGAAGAACATGAGCCAAATGACTTTTCCCTTTATGAAACAGTAGTTTCCCTACGATTTTCGTTAATCTGGCTGGACTGATTCTCGGTTTCTAAATGTGCATTAATTTTAGGCCAGTTTTTTTTCATCATATTATGATATTCTAGATCTACCTCTCCTAGTCCCAAAGAGTCCAATCCTATAACTAAAAAGGTATCCAAATCTAAATAAGTAATTCTTTTCCTGAGATGTTCGACTGTTATGTTTAATGGATGCAGGCAAAAATAAATAAGTAAAACAAATCCAAAAATAGTAGAGTCATTAAATACAGAGATTACATGATGCACTGAAGGAAGTTAGAAATGAGAGGGGTGGGAACATGCGTTCTGACACTAACATATAAAGCTTGAGATTGTGAAAAAGGAGAAAGTGCTCCCTTAAGAAACAAGTATTCTATGTATTTTCCCCTAACATAAAAAATATTTGAGGGGAAAAGGTGAATCACGTTTGTATATAAATATACTTCAAAAATTATCATCTTTTCAATATTTCCTCACATTAATTGGCAACTTATTCTCCTCATTTATTCTCTTCTTAAATTCTTTTTCCCATTTGTTTTGACTAAATGCAACATATAAAGATTCAAGGTTCTTTTTGCAAAAAAAATAAAATAAAAGTGATTCATTTAACATGAAAGTATAAATGTTCTATTTACGTCTCTTTAGGTATTCAAGACTATGTAAAATGTTTTTCAATAATCACTTGTAAATTATATTAAAGCAAAATTTCGATTCCAATTAGAATCAGGAAACTGCAGTAGGCTCATACAGAGATGAGAATCGAAGCTTTGGAGGCAGGCCAACTTGATTCTGACTTGATCACTTTCTAGTGGGGTGACTATAACATGGGGCAAATAATACCTCATCAAGTGCTGTGATGGTTAAGGAGATAAAATATATGAAGGACTTGTGTACAGTAGGTGTCAATATTGGTTAGTATTTTTTGTCTCTAAAAAGGAAAGTTAAAATGTAGGACAGTAAACGGCCTTAGATCAGCTGCTTACCACGTTTGTGAATAGTTGGAAGGAAGAATTCCATGTCCCCATCACCACTACCACTGCCATCAACCCTATAGAGTTCAGCAGTCACTTTTCAAGGAGAAACACAGAGACACAACCCACACAACACACATTGACACAATGAGAAAATTAAGAACTCTTAAAACATATCCAGTAAAGAGGAAAATGCAGTAATACTCATCAATAATATGCATTCTTCCACAAACACACACACAAAAAGACAGATCTGTTAAGTGTAAAAGTATAAATTAGTTAAGCTACCAACTTACAAAAACATCATTCATAGCCTCCAGAAATACTCCATGTAAGCTGTAATTGGTATTTCCCATTTCTGCCAATTTAATTTTAAATTTTCATTTACAGAAATGTAAATTGTTTTAACATTTTAAATACTTTAAAAATATTTGTTTGTGGGTACACTCAGACCTATATGCCTCCTACAGGTACCTTATCAATCACAACAACCAATTCTAAACTAGGGAAATGCATCAAACATTTCCCTCCAGCCACACATTCAAATTCCCCCATAGTTCACCATCTTCAGGTTTGATCACCCTTGTGCATCTGACACTGCAAAGAACCCTAGGCAGGCCGTCTAAAACTCTCTGCTTCAGCCCTGGCTATGAGAGATAACAGCTGTAAAACCTTCAGCAAGGCACTAGGCCTCTTGGTACCTCAACTTTCTCACCTACAAAAAAAAATGTTACATTTTATAGAATGGCTGTAAAGATGAAGTAAATAATACTATGAAAAATAAAGTACCTTGGCAATAAACAAGGACTATAATTAAGAGAAAGTACTTTTACCTTTACTTCCAATACATCTTATCCCCCCACCATTACTTTACCAAATGCTTGCAGACAATAAAAACAGGAAGGGCAGCGATGATAGCAGTGGGGGAAAAAGAGGAGTAGAAGCAAGACCACATCCATACCAATGTGCTTCTACTGGTGTCCTTGACTGGCATGCTAGTCTTAGATCTGTCCTGCTCTTCTGTTCCCCTCAGTAGGACTGGGATATACCAGATATAAGAAGCTATGGCACCCCAAACCTGAAATGTCTTAGAAACTTAAGAGGCAAAATACATTTCAGAGAATATCTACTGCATGGCTTTGCCCTCATATTATCCACTAGTTGTTAGAAAGAAGGGTGAAGTTCAATACCAATGTACTCTGGCTAGCACATAACATCTATTCAATGGGCTGGCTATCTTAGGTGGAATCAGTTTTATAGACAAACTAGTATGGAATGAGGGTTAATTCCCTGACCCTCAGCAGAATTTAGCTCTCAAGCTTTTTCACTTCTCAGGCAATCTCATGGCTATATGACTCAGCGAGTGGAGGACAGTATCTAGATTCCTTTACCTCCCATCCCAACTCACTTGGGTAGAGGGGAAATCAGATTCTCTGCCACTATTTGCTTATTAAGAAACTGCAAAACTGGTTTTTAAAAAAAGAAAGAAAAAGGAGCAGTTGGGAGCTTCAGTCCCAGCCTGAAAACAGCCCTCAGCCCCTCACCCAGACTGGCCAGGCACCCCAGTGGGGACCACTCCCCTGAATGGTGTGTGACCAGCTGTAAACAGCCATCATCTCCTCATCCAGGCTGGCCAGTCACCCCAGTGGGGACCCACACCCAGACCCTTCAAGGCAAACGAGCTAGCCCCCACCCGTACACCAGGCCTCTATCCTATATAATAAAAGGCTAATATGCAAACTGACCCTAACAGCAGAAAGACTGGGAATGACTGGTCGCTATGACACACACTGACCACCAGGGGGCAGACGCTAAATGCAGGGTTGTCCCCTGGTGGTCAGTGCACTCCCACCGCTCAGCCAGAAGCTGGGCTCACAGCTGGTGAGCACAGCAGCAATGGTGGGAGCCTCTCCCACCTCTGCAGCAGCACTAAGGATGTCCGACTGACAGCTTAGGCCCACTCCCTGCAGGCCATCAGTCGGACATCCCCCAAGGGCTCCCGGACTGCGAGAGGGCTCAGGCTGGGCTGAGGAACACCCTGAGTGCATGAATTTTGTGCACCAGGCCTCTAGTGAAGATAATAATGCCAGGTTATGTAATGGAAAGAGACTGCCCTGATGAATAACATAACAATTCTCAAATTTCTTACATTTACAAAGGTAATGTGATACATATCACATGTATTCTATAACACCTTACTAGCACCTGAAAATCAAACACATTAATACTTCTGCAAAGAAACATACATAAAGAGTAAATGTAAGTGGGATAATAAAGATTATAAATAGCCTCTCTTTGATAGATAGGAGTTTAACTAAAAAATGATTTTTTTTTTACTCCAAAACTCTTTGATAATCAGAGCTTTCTGAATATCAGAATAGAGGATAAGGAACTATTGACCTGTTTTATTGATAATAACCTCATAATAGATTACCTAAAAGGATTAGTTCTTACCTACGCCACACCTGGAGTAGCTCTAAAGGAGCTATTGTAAAAATTAAATAAAGGATCAGAGGAAAGAACTGATTTTAGGGGCACCAACTATGACTGACAACTACAATTTGGTGGTGATTCAGGGCAATTATCCTATTTCATTCTAAAAGCACACCTACTTTAGGAAAAGACCAACAGGTAATAAAAAGGGGGAAAATACCACAGTAGATGGTATCCTTATAATAAAAATTAGAGATATTAACTCAGAATTTACCAATCCTCACAGCAAAAATATATGTAAATGAAACTATGAATTTAATATTGATTTCTAACACTAGTATTATACATTTATGTAGAGAGATAAAACATTTTCTTTTTACCAAAAAAGGGATGATCCATCAGATTGTCTATATACATTAAGCAATTATTAATGTTCAAACTGTTCTTTCCAAAAACTAGTAATATACACATTTATAGAAAAAAAGGGTAACATTAATTCAAAGGAACATATTTCCATAACAGAATGTACAATCATGGTGTGTGGACAAATATTTGATATTTTTGAGTCACCAGACTTACCTCCTCCCTCCAAGTTTAACAATTCAACTTTAAAAGATTTTTCCAATTCAGGGATAGAATTATCAGTTATATTAACAGAAATGTATTTATATCTTTCTCCTGGTTGAAATTCTAAGGTACCAGCAGCACTCTGAAATGCAAATGAGAGATTTATCCATTAGATTATAATTATTCTGTATGTGAATGTACAAAATGAGAGTGTTCTCTGTCCAAAATTATTTTAAATACTGAAACAGAAGAACCTAAGTAAATATAAAATTAGAAATACTGGAGAACCAAGATGGCGGCATAGGTTAACGCCGGAGTTTGCCGCCTCGAACAACCATTTCAAAAGTGAAACTAAAAGACGGAAGGGACATCACCCAGACCCACAGGAACGCTGGCTGAGTGGAAGTCCTACAACTAGGAGGAAAGAGTAACGTATACGGA